TATTAGACTTGAGTCATCCTGAAAAACTCACCCAGCCTGCCAGGCAAGGGGCCCTCAGAGAACGTAGGGTACTTCCCGGGGTATGAGTGGAAAAGGGGTGTGCGAGAGGTCACAGCATGTGCTTTGAGTCCCCACGTGGTCCCCACGGAGGTCTCCGAAGATACCCCAGTTCACCGCCATGTGAAAGAGCCAGCATGTGAGGGCTCATCAGGATATGGCGGGGGTGGGATCTGACACTCAAACGAGAACTATACCTGTTCTTGCCTGTTCCATCTGAGGCCCCTTGACCACTCATTCCTTTGCTCCTGTACACCAGCAAGGGGAGCTGGAGAGGAGGCAGGAAAGGACACGCCTGCCTAGTCTCCACACTGCAGATTCCGGAGCCATCTGTGGTCAGACCAGAGGGGCTGGGAAGAGGTATCACACTGGATGTGAGAATGAAGTTTTGGCTGGACTAGAATGGCCTTCTAATATTCAAATTTGAGACTGTTCTTATAGTTGAAACTAAAAGCTATGTGATCTAATGAAGTATGGCCAACTTCAGCTCATTCAGTAGCCCAGTAACAATAATTTATTTCCACTATTGAGGAAGCTACTCTGAGACATTCGTCATTCAGAGCTAGAATGCAGTTTCTTTTTATTTATTTATTTTTGGCTGCGTTGGGTCTTTGTTGCTGCGTGCGGGCTTTCTCTAGTTGTGGCGAGCAGGGGCTACTCTTTGTTGTGGAGCACAGGCTCTAGTCTCATGAGCTTCAGTAGTTGTGGCACGCAGGCTTAGTAGTTGTGGCTCGTGGGCTCTAGAGTGCAGGCTCAGTAGTTGTGGCGCATGGGCTTAGTTGCTCCGCGGCATGCGGGATCTTCCCAGACAAGGGCTTGAACCCGTGTCCCCTGCATTGGCAGGCAGTTTCTTAACCACTGCACCACCAGGGAAGCCCTAGAATGCAGTTTCTGAGATGAAATACAATTCTCATCAGTTCACTCCCAGGCAGGGAGCTGCTTCTGGGGGACAGAGAAACCACAGAACTTTTGGCAGTCTTCTAGGGCTGGAGAGACAAAACCAGGGACTTGAAAGGCTAATATCCCAGAGAGAAGGAGTGGGGGGACAGAAAAGTGAGCTTGATAGATGGCAATATCCCCCTTAAGGCATTTGGCAGATTCTGAAACACTGCAGGCCAAGAAGCTAAGAAACCAAGCAAAAAGTTCCTGAAAAACAGAGCGGAGGAACTTCCCTGGTTGTCCAGTGGTTAAGACTCCGTGCTTCCAATGCAGGGGGCAGGGGTTCGATCCCTGGTTGGGAAAGTTCTGCCTGCTGCACACTGCGGCCAAACAAACAAACAAACAAAAACAGAGCAGAGTTTCCAGCAGTCTTGCCATTAGAACTCAGGACTGGCAGGAGGGGCCTCGGTGAACACCTAAGAACACTTGGCAAGGCCTTAGAAGTGAAGGCCAGAGTTAAATGGTGTCTTATCAAAACTGCAACCCAGCCTCCATCCAGCTCAGCCTCTGATTGGATTAAGATGGTCAGTCCTCATGCCATCTGTCTTGCAGAGAAAGGGTGAGCCCTCTCCAGAGTTAGATAACATCACCTGGAGACTCTAGATCTAATTTTTTTCATGCACAGACATTGTATGGCATTCCACAAAAATTACAAGGCCTGCCAAGAGACAGGACCAAATCACTGGAAACAAAGAGAAAAGTAGTCAGTAGAAATAGACCCCACAGGTGACCAAGGCATTGGAATTAGACAGGGGCTTTAAAATAACCATAATTAATATGTTCAAGAAAAACAAAGCAGAAGATGGAGAAAATGGATGAAAAGAGAATTTTACCAGAGAATTGGAATCCATAAACTTCATAGTCCAAAAGATTGAGAGCATAGAGAAGACACTTGAGCTCCTCATCGACAGGGGGATTTTGAAAATGCTGGTTCAGCTCTATACAAGCCATAAAACCCTACAACCCACAGTCTGAGAAAAAGTTTGCCATCATGGATTGTCATTCTCTCTACTTCTTAAGTGGCTTCCTTTAAGGAATACATATTGTACCCTGAACTCTTGAGTCTACTCTGCCCCATAAGCCCAATCCCTGGAATGGAGCTCTGTTAAAGAGGTGCCTTTTGCTAATTATCCTAAATACATCCTTTGGGCAATGTGTGATGCGAGTACTATTAGTTAAGATGGTCAGGGAGATGAAGCCTATTTGAGTTGACACTAAGTGACAGGAGCCAACCAGGAGAGGATTAGGGGGAAATTTGACCTGGGCAGAGGGGACATAGAGTACATAGACCCCTGAGGCAAGACTGTGTTTGGCGATTTAACCAGGGGATAACAAACTTTTCTGTAAAGGGCTAGATAGTAAATATTTTAGCTGTTCCAAGTCATACAGTGTCTGCTGCAACTAAATTCTGCTGCTATAATGCAAAGGTACAGACACATAATAAATAAATGGGTGGTAGTGTCCCAATAAAACTTTATTTATGAACACTGAAATTAGAATTCCTTGTTAATTTTCACGTCACAAAATATCCTTTTGACTTTTTCCCCAACCATTTAAAAACGTAAAATCCATTCTTTTCTTTTTTTAAATTTTTATTGGAGTATAGTTGATTTACAATGTTGTGTTAGTTTCTACTGTACGGCAAAGTGAATCAGTTATACATATACATATATGCACTTTTTTAGATTCTTTTCCCATATAGGTCATTTCAGAATATTGAGTAGAGTTCCCCATGCTATACAGTGGGTCCTTATTAGTTATCTGTTTTACATATAGTAGTGTGTATATGTCAACTACAATCTTCCAATTTTTCTCTCCCCTCCCTTTCCCCTTTGGTAACCATAAGTTTGTTTCCTACATCTGTGACTCTATTTCTGTTTTGTAAATAAGTTCATTTGTACCATTTTTTTAGATTCCACATGTAAGTGATATCATATGATCTTTGTCTTTGTCTGACTTCCTTCACTCAGTATGACAACCTCTAGGTCCATCCATGTTGCTGCAAATGGCACTATTTCATTTTTCATGGCTGAGTAATATTCCATTGTATACATGTACCACATCTTCTTTATCCATTCCTCTGTCGATGGGCATTTAGGTTGCTTCCATGTCTGGCTATTGTAAACAGTGCTACAGTGAACATTGGGGTGCATGTGTCTCTTCGAATTATGGTTTTCTCCAGATATATGCCCAGGAGTGGGATTGCTGGATCATATGGTAGCTGTATTTTTAGATCTTTCCTCAACCTCCATGCTGTTCTCCACAGCGGCTGCACCAGTTTACATGCCCACCAACAGTGCAGGAGGCTCCCTTTTCTCCGCACCTTCTCCAGCAGTTGTTTGTAGCGTAAAATCCATTCTTAACTCTGGGACTGTAATTTGCTGATATAAGGGGTGTTAGGTAGACGGGGATCAGACCATGCAGGACATGTAGGACATGGTAACAATCAGATTGAAGCAAAGCCCCTTTCACTCTCCAAATGTAAAGCCACCCCTCAGGGCAGTTGCAGGCCGGGGTGACAGTTCTGGGAGGCAGCTTCCTACAGCTCATGGGAGATCACCAGGTTTGTTTCATTTTCCCCCAGTATCAAGAGACTACAAGCAAAAAGGCAGGAGCGCGCGCACACGCACGCGCGCGCACACACACACACACACACACACACACGCGCGCGCGCACACACACATACACACACATACACACACAGAGCTAGAAAGCCAGAGAGGACGTGCCCAGGTTCACGCCGACGTTTCTCCAGCATGCACTACGGGGTTTAAAGTTGGACGCACACCTGCTCCCTGCGGGAGTGCACCTGCTGAGCCGCGCTCCGTCCTCGTCTCGCGAGAGCGGTGCCGTAGTAGTGGCCCCCACCCCCACCCGGCCACCAAATCCCTCTCCCCGCCCCCTCGGCCCAGCCTCCGCGCTGTAGCACAGTCCCTGCCATCTCCACCGCCCGCGGGAGCAGCCTCGGCCCGCCGTGCGCGCTTCCCCCGCGCCCCCGCCCGCCGACTGCTCGCTCGCACGCCCGCCCGGTAGTAATTTCACTTTGCCACGCGAGCTCCGCAACGCCTAGAAATCCCGCCCCCCGCTCCCCCTGCAGCCGCCGGGAGTCGTCCCTTTTCCCGGCCAGGTGCGTGAGCCTGCGCGCTCCTCCTCCGCCTCCTTCGGCGGGTCCCTGGCGAGCCGGAGCCGGGGCCGGGGCCCGGCGGGGGCGGATGCGCGCACCGCGCCTCTCCACCAACCCGCTCCGCTGCAGGTCCCTTGCTCTCCATCCCTCGCCGGCGCTCCCTTGCCCCCCCACCCCCCTTGATTGACAGGCAAGATGTCGGAGTGGAGCGAGGCAGGAGCGAATGCAGCAGCCGTCACCCCCGGAGCCCGGCGGCGGCAGCAGCAGCAGCGCGACGACGAGCCAGCAACCAGCCGCAGTCGTCGCCGCAGCCGCGGGAGCAATGCAGACAGCATCTTGAGAACGCGCTAAAGCACCACAAACGGTGGACAATGCCGTGTCACTGCAACTGGGAGGGGGGCAAACCAGATTTTTTTTGACATAAAAGCCAGCCAGCCAAAAATATATAATTTTGTCCTTCACGGAGCCGGTGTGTAAAGAGTGAGCGCTGTTTTCCTTCTCTCCCTCCTCCTCTCCCTCCCCCCCCTCCTCTTTTTCCTCCTCCTCCTCCCTAAGTGTACAGACAGCATCACATCACCTGGTTTGCTTCTGAGAAACAGCATCTCTCCTTTTCAGGGACCAGAGACTCAGAGAGAGGAGACGTTCTAATGAAGTCTGCTTGATACCCCAAAATAAAATAATAAATTGTGGCTCTTGTCCCCTCCTCCCACCCCCACCCCCTCAACCCTGTGTGAGATGTTGGGTTTCTTCTTCATGAGACATTGTTGAGAAGTCGCAGTGGTTGGAGAGGCGTAGGGGGCAGACTACCTCTGCTCCCCCCACGCCCCCCTTTTTTCTCTCCGGGAGGAGGAGGAGGGGAAGGGGGCTTGCAGAGCAAGCGATGGATGAGGAAAACATGACGAAAAGCGAGGAGCAGCAGCCTCTGAGTTTGCAAAAAGCCTTACAGCAGTGCGAGTTGGTCCAAAACATGATAGACCTGAGCATCTCCAACCTGGAAGGGCTTAGGACCAAATGTGCTACTTCCAACGACCTCACACAAAAAGAAATCCGGACCCTGGAGGTAGGTGTTGCCTATGGAAAGAAAGCCACCCTTCCTTCCCTCCCCCTTCTCCCCCACCATCCCCTTTCCCTTGATTCTGTTTGTTGGGGGTGGGGTGGGCGGGTGGGAGGGTAGCAAGGTGGGCACGATTTGGTCTCCTGTGATTTATCTTGCAAATCCTGCACTGGGTGTCCCTTTACTGTACTGCTGTCGTCGGCGCTTGGCTGGGTGGTGGGAGGAGTAGTAGTAACTGTTATTCTTTATTATTATTCTTGCGGCTGTGGTTATCATTCGCTTCCTCTTTGAGGAGTGAGTTCTCCCTTTTTTCTGCTTGTGAATTTGTTTATATGCCACGGGGGCTTGCTTGTGTGCTGGGTAAGACATTAAGGCGCTGCAGAGAACCCACGTGACCTTGCGCATTCTGCAGGTGGTCAAAAGGTGCTTTTTGCTCGCAGAATGGGGCTGCCTGTAAAGATAGACCTCTTCTTTTTCAGCCTCCTTCCCAGCCCCCCTTTTGCTCCTTGGATTTGGTTTGTTTGTTTGCTTGTTTGTTTTCATTAATGTACATGTCAGGAGGCAAGATGCATGAAAAAGAATTCCCCATTGAGCTACCCATTTCCAATCAAATCGTTTTGATGCAGGGAGCTGTTGCAGGCCTGAAACGTGTTTAAAAAAACAAACAAACAAAAAACAAAAACAACCCTGGATCAGCACACACAGGTGGTGTGGGAAAATACTCTGAATCTTGGTGGGACCGTGCAGAAAGGGGTCCGCAGTTTTATCTTTGGCGTGTTGTAACGTTCTCTCCAACAGAACTTGAGGGGGAGTTTGAAGCAATTTCGTGGGGGGGGATGGGGGGTGGATGCAAAGTTACTCAGAAAGAAGATGGCAGAAATTATTTCTTCCGAAGGCCATCTGGTCAAAGGAAGAAGGCTTCAAGAGCTTTAGAAAATGCCTGGCGTCCACATAGTCACTGAGCATCCACGTTGTTCGAAACATCTCTAGGGTTCGACTCACATCCCTCCCTCCAACCGGCCCCGTGCTACGCATGGCTTGATTAAATTTGGGAACTCCCATTAGCTGGCACTTGCTGAGGGTGGTGGCCATGGGGCTGGGAGGAAAGGAAGGTGATTCTCCCTGTGGTGGGGCGGGCGTGTGCAGAGCTGGGATGGCCACTAGTTTCCAGCCCGTGTGTTTCCAAGGCCTGAACTCTTTAATCCCTACTGAATCTTTTAGCCCTTGTGCCCCCATTCTAGCCTGGATGAGCATCTACCTCTGGTTCACTTTCAAGTCTTCCTTTTTCCTCCGTGGTTTTAAATTTGGCCGCATGTCAGCAGGCAGGAAGGTCACCAGTTTGAAAGTGGAGTTAGTGTGTGTGTGTGTGTGTGTGTGTGTGTATTGGGTATGCTATTTGCTCCCCTAGAATGCATCTCTATGTGCACCTGTCATCTGGGAAAATGATCATCAGAAATGATAACGTAAGTATCAAGGGGTAGCAGAGGCGTGGGAATTCTGTGGGGAGGCACACAGGTATTTTCTTTCTCAGAGCTTTGGAGAGCCGTGTAGGCTAGGACTCCGCTGATGGAAGAAAAAGTGTGGGATGCCCTGGCCCAGCCTTCTGTCTCTGTCTGAGCAGTGCCCAAGAGAAGATTCTGTTCAGAATTGCATGTTGTAAATAAATAACCCAAAAGGGCCACCGGAGGTCTCTACTGTTCCTCTGAGTCAGGAGTCCCAAATGCTAGTTTGTGTATTACTATGTAAGTTTCTCCAGTTTTCTTTTCCTCTTTCCAGCATGCTCCATCCTCTGAGAGCTCCCTGGATCATGGTGATTGTTGTAGTGGGCCACGGATTCCATTGCTTCTTTTCTGCATAGTGGTTTTCTTTTTAAACTGGGGGATGTGGGCATTGGTATGGTGGGAAGTGACAGTTACTGGGACTGCATCTGTTGTTAGTTTCCTAATCCCAGTATGCCACAGAGTGTGCCCACGACTTTATCCATATTGCCCAAGAAAGGATCTTGAGCAGTTATGCCAGTTGAGGCTTCCTAGGTCTCTAGGGCTAGGGTGGGGCCTCTGGGGAGGGGCTGATGCCTTAGGGTCCAGGCAAGTGCTGCCAAACCTCTCATAGGTTTTGGATCCACAGTTGTTGTTGTTTTTAAATCCCAGCAGTTGTCAAACTTCATATATCAGAACCACCTGAGGGAGCTTATTAAAAATGCAGATTCTCAGCCTCTAATCCCAGAGATTCTAATTCAGTTGGGATTGGAGGGGGCCTAGGGATCTGCATTTAGTAAACAGTCCAGGTGTTTCTGATGCATGTTTTCATATTGACACTTTGAGAAAGACTAATCTAATAGGAGATAGAGGCCATATTTCAGCTATTCGATGATGACATCTCCCTACTCACAAACCCTAAAGAAAGTAGTAAATTGAACAGACCATCCCTGAAAACCTTGCCTATAACCCCTGCGGAAACAAAAAACATCTGACATGGACTTAGTCTCCAAGAAGCGTACTTTCATGATGAGGGAGACAAGGCTAATAATGTGTATGTGAGATAATGATAAAGTCCAAACAGTAATATGGGAGACAGCATGTGGGTCCATTAGGAATGTGTTCAGCTGTGTGAAATGGAAAATCCACCCAGCGTGGCTAAGCAATTAATGGTTTATTTTTCTCATGTAGCAAGAAGTCTGGAGGTATGTAGCTGCTTGAGTTGGCTTAGTGAGTTAATAACATTGGGGCTGATGTCTTTGCGAATTCTCATGGCCTCTTCCTTATGGCCACAAGATGGCCCCTGAAGCTTTAACCATCTCACCCAGGTTCAAGGTATGGAAGAGGGGGACCAGGTGAACAGGAAGGAATAAAGGCTTCATATCTCTGTTTGGTTTCCACAGGACACCTCTGCCTTCCTACCCCTAAGGTGATGTTTCATTATGTCTTCTTTGCCAGAACTGGGTCAGATCACTTGTCCGAGCTGCAAGGCAGTGGGGATACCACCGTGACTGGTTTAGATAGTTGCAGTCCGTTTCCTGGTTTGACCTGTTGCTACTCCTTACAAAATCAGTGTTGTGCTAGCATGGAAGAAGGCATGAAGGGACATTGGGTGGACAGCCAGCAACACTGGCCACAGTATGTTACCAGGAGGTACTTTGGCAGAGAAGAAAGGTCATGCGTTTTGGAGTTGGACCGATGTAGTTTGGCATTCTAGCTTTCCTACTTACTTTATCTTGGCCTAGTGATTTAAATTTTCTGACCCATGGTTTCATTTTTGGCAAAATGGCAGTGAAGGAATAACATTGCTTACCTCAGAGGTGGTGGTAAGGATGAAAAGAGGTGAGATTTTCAAGGGTCTAATGCTATCTGTAGCCCAGTGCCTGCAGGTGCTAAATAAATGATAGCTTCTTTGATGGTGATGATTAGCATTACATGGTGTAGAGTAGATGACACGGAAGGGAACAGCTCAGACTGGAGGGAGGGAGGAAGGAGCTTAAGCAGCATTTCCAAAGTATGTTCTGTGGAACCCTAGCATTATCACTCTTTCAACAAATACTGAAATCCTGGCACTGTGCTAGATGCTGGTGGTCAGCAAGTATTCTGAAGGCAAAATAAATCCCATGGTTAACACATTTGGGAAAGGTTGAGGTAAGCAAAAGAGATAGGTATCTTGACTGCAGGACTTCTCAGAGCCTTTAATGTGCTGTATTTGTACATTGTGACTCCAAGAGAGGGTAGCGTCTGCGGTGTTTCCTTTTTCCAGAGACGTCTCTTGGGCTTGATGTTCCATAGAATGCACCCAGGGAAACATGTGACGAAGTGGTTAGGGAAGAATCCTTGATTGGGGAGCTGGGGATCCTGAGTGGAGTGAGGTATGGGGAGGGTTTAAGTTGCAGCGGGTTGGGGGAGCTCTCTGGGCCAGAGCAACAAACCGGATGGAGGCATACTCCTGCCTTCAAGGGGCAGCTTACAGACCGGCTGGCCCAGAATGGAGAGTACCTGGTAGAGTGTCATAGGAAACGAATTCAGGTTACAAACTCCTGGGGTGTAACTTAGGATCAGGAAGTCAGACAAACAAAGTTTCATCCCTTTGAGAGAGGAGATAGAAATCTTCAAAGGTTTTGGAGTGAGTACAATTAAAAAGTTGTTTAAAGGTTAGTCTGATGGCAGCCTGCAGCAGGGACCAGCAAACTTTTTCTGTAACGGGACAGATAGTAAATCGTTGAGGCTTTGTAGGCCATGTGGTTTCCATCACAACCACTCAGCTCTGCTGTTGTAGCCTGAAGCAGCCACGGACAACCCAGAAATAAATGTTTTCTAATAAAACTTCATTTAGGGTCCCTGAAATCTGAATTTGATATAATTTTCACATGTCACAAAATAGTATTTTCCTTCTAATTTGTTTTTTACATTTAAAAATGTAGAAACTATTCTTCGGTTTCGGGCCTTAAAAAAACAGGTGGTGGGTCAGACTTGGCCCGTGGGCTGTAGTTTGCTGATCCCTGATTTATAGGGTGAGAAACGAACCTGGAGGCACAGATGCCATCTGAAAGGTGAGTGAGTGGCACTAGGGCTGGTGGGCACTGGCCACGTGCAGCTGGTACTGAGCTGGGTTCTGTTTCGGTTAAGTTACAAGTGGAGGTAAATATCAGGGATTGGGTTGGGGGATGGCTAAGTGACAGAATCTCCTGTACAGCGAGGGTGTTCTAGCCGTCACATATCTATTATTTGTTCTTTATCTGTTCCATCGCAATGACTGATTATGGTTTGAGAGACCATACCTAGACTTAATTAAGTTTGGGAAACTGGACCTCAGACAATAACGCATTATTTTCAGTGATGCTGTGGGTTGGGATTCGCTGGGCAGTTCTTTGGCTCGTCTTGCAGACCAGTAGTTCTGGTCATCCGGCAGCTCCGCTGAGGCTGAATGGTCCAAGATGGCCCTATTCATGTGGCTGGTGGTCGGCTAGTGATTGGCTCAGGCCCCTCAGTTCTCTTCCACATAGCCTCTCCAGCAGGACAGCC